TGTCTCCTGCTTTGGCAGGAGGGTTCTTTACCACTAGCCCCACTTGGGAAGCTCCTTACCATCTCTAACGAGCGTCATAATTATTTTTTTCTCTGACACACTTGAGCTGACCATGCAGAAGGCATGCCCCTCCCACCTGGGCATCCCAGGCTGGGGCAGACATCTTTTCTCATCTTTGAGATGCTTAATCTCAGAAAGGGCCGGACCCGTCGAGTTTAAAGTCCCCCAATAACCTCTCCCAGGACGCCCACTGAAGTTGGCAGTCATATAGCTTAGATTTGGGAGCACATTCGTAATTTCAAATCATCTCTCTCACTGCCAGCCAATGAGTCCTGAAGCTTCGGCTTTGATAAAAAAAAAAGTCTCTGTATTGTCTACTCTGGCTCTTGGTCTCTCTCCCGATCACCTCGGCGAGGGGCAATGTTACAGTCTTTGAGCTAGCATGTCCGTTTCAAATGTCCAGCCATCTCCTTCAGCCCCAGAGCCTGCATATCCTTCATGACCTCACAGGAGGGTTAGCTCAGGATCTCAGCTGACAGGCTGTAGCCGGCTAGGCTTGCTTTCTTGGTTCTGTGGGACTAGTTGGGACCCCAGCAAAAGAAGGAGAGGGGGAGATGTGCCTTCGTCTCTCTCTCCTCCCCGCCTCCCTCCATGGCATCGTGCTGCTGGGCAGGTGATGTGCTAAACTGACTACGTTTTCCTCCTAAAGTCCAACCCCATCGTCCCCAAGGCCAAATGCCTGGTAAAGAGAGGGCCAGGCTGAGCCTCCAACATGATGACAGGAAGTGAAGGTAGCCCTGAGATTTTGGGCATAAAAATGGACCAATTAAGAGATGAGAAGGAAAGAGATGGTATGTGGTGAGTCTCTGCTGGGAACAGACATGCAGGAGGAACATGGGATCTGCGCCAGGCACTTTCCACAATTAGCTCCTCCCAGGATATAGATTAGGTAACTGAACCTCAGAGAGATGAAATAATGTCCCTAGGTCCTGGAGCTCACGAGTGGAGCCAAGATTCGGACTCGGGTCTGCAGATCTGTTTGACTTGTACACTCCAGCTCTTTCCAGGAAACCCTATTCCTCCCGGGGAGGGGGATGTGTGGGCTCCTGGGGATGGGGCGCAGTCCTCACTCGTCTTCTATTGGAGAAGCCTGGCAGCTATCGGTCAGCCCCCCCTCTGCTCTTCGGATCTCGTTACCATTCCTGCGCTTTCCAATAACATGTTCATAATCATCTCCGAGGTGACAGAAACGGCCCCAGCCCACCGACATCTGGAAGGGCTCAGGGCTGCCATGACCCTTAGCACAGCCTCAGGGCTCAGCCGGCACTTGCTGTGAACCCTGGATGCCTGGGATCAGATCCACAGGCCTCACGGGGCACGAGCAAAGTAGCACCCCCTGGAAGGGTTCCCTGAGATGCAGCCACGAGCTATGGCCGATCTGTGCACAGCCCATCTGGGGAGTGGATAACCCAGCCTGACAAGTGACCTTGACGGAATTACAGCAGTAATATTTTCGGTTGGTTGCGCTAGTCTTAGCCAATTTCTCTAGAGCTTTAGGTGCAAACATAAGTCCGCGGTTCCACATCGCTCACGCTGGTGTCGGCCGCCTCCCCTCCGCTGTCTCTAGTACTTATCCTATGGCTAGTACAAGCCTCGCCTTTCTCTTCCCCGGTGAGAGCGAGAGTCTCCAGGCCACCTTTGCCTCCGCGGGATGTGCAGTGAAGCAGTGCGGATGAGGATCTTGCCCCCTGCCCGTCAAGTCAGGCTGGCACTGAATGACCTCCTGCACCAGCCAGCCTGTCCTCCGAGGATTGAAATTGATTTTCCTTCGTTCTGTGTGTGAGCACCGCCCGAGGTACAGCTCTGTTACCACACCAGGCTCAGGGGAACAGTGACATTCTTGAAAAGATAAATGGGAGTTCTTTAAGAATGCCCTCTGTCACCTCTGCTAGTGAACAGAATGCCTGCTTACCTTTCCAAACAGTAGCTTTTAATTTCTCCATGCCACTGTGTGTGTGTGTGTGTGTGTGTGTGTGTGAGTGCATAGGGATGGGGGTGAGAGGTTTCTGAAGCTGTGAGATAAAGTGTTAAAAACTCCAAACTCCTGTCCACATGGCCAAGTTGAGGTCTGATGTATGATTTAAAGAGGTGACCAAAAAGTCAGGACTCAAAATGTTTTATTGTCATACATTTAAAAATATCAAAATTAATGCAAAAAATCCACTGTGAGCAACATATCAAACTTTTAAATAAATAAACAGTTGACATTCTTGGTTTTTCCCTTTATCTCAGAGTCCAAGATGACTCAACACAACACTTCTTTATAAACTTCTGATATGATGTTCATCGTGGATTTTTTACATTAATTTTAATTTTCAAAATACTGCATGAAGATATTTATCTTTCTGGTCCCTTTAAGTTCTGCACACTGGAGGAACTGCCTCTCCCAGGTCTCAGCCCCCTTTCAGGCCTGGCCCAAATCCCAGGTAGGGTTGTTTCTGAGATTAGCTGAAGATCCTAGCTGGCATTTGTATTCAGCCTCCAAACTGAGAAGAGTTGAGTTGTTGAACTCTTCCTCTAGATGGTGACTGTTCGAGCCCAGAATGGCATTTGGATTTTGTTATTGACTTGGTCACAGCTTAAGTCATCCCAAGTGCAAGCAGGGGTAAAGAATAGGCTTTCTCGGAGGTAGTGTCTGTTCTGTATATACCGAGGGTGGTCCATGAACTGGCCAGGCCACGAGAGGCTACAAGGAGACTCTTGGTAGATATTCAAGTTCAAGTCTGCTGCCCTGTCACCTCCCTGATGATGCTTATAGAGGAGCCTCGACCTCTATTGTCAAGTTGTCAGTTCATTGCTCAGCAGGGCACTCAGGCTCTTCCCCCACCGCCCCTCCACCCCCAAATAATCACCACTGGTGTCCCTAGCAGCCACAAGGCTGTGTGAATATCACTTCAGTGACTGCCTTTTAAAGATATGGCCTGGTGCTTCTGGAAAAGCTAGCTCTTTCATAATTGTAAAATTGACCTCTATTCCGCAGCTCTACTACACACTGGTGTGCTTCCTGGCAAATCCATCTAACCCAAAATTAAATGACATTTCCTGGCGAGAGATGGGCAAGTGGTTGAAAATATCACAGCAACCGCTGCACTCAACTTGTAATATTCCTTTACATTCTGTATCTCAGGGCTTTCCTGGGTCTCTTAACTGGCAAGTTAAGGGGGAGCACTGTGGGCTCGGAGTCTGACCATTTGAAATAAGAAGCCAGCAGGGAGAGGCTGCTTAACTCTGGTTTTTAGTTTTCCCTTTTCCAATGTATCCTTCCCATCTTAAACCTGCCCTTCCTCCTCCTGTATGTTTTTTTCAGGAGCTGACATCATCACCTATACCCAAGCATGAGGTCCCAATTTCACCTCCTTTGCCACCTAGATCCCAGTGTGCTGCCAGAACGATCCTGCCAGAATGTTGATGTGATCATGTCATTTTGTTCAGAACCCTTTGTAACACCTCCTCCTAGCCCCTCCTCCAGGGGATCTTCGCAACCCAGGGATCGAACACAGATCTCCTGCATTGCAGGCGGATTCCTGACCAGCTGACCCACCAGGGAAGCCCAAGAATGCTGGAGTGGGTAGCCTATCCCTTCTCCAGTGGATCTCCCCAACCCAGGAATTGGACCTGGGTCTCCTGCATTGCAGGCAAATTCTTTACCAGCCGAGCTACCAGGGAAGCCCCCTGTAACAACTCCTCCTGGCCTAGAAGGTAAGGTTCACTGTGCCTATTTTGGCTCTGCCCTTCTCACTCGGCTCATGGCTCACTGCTCTCCCCACTTGCAGCCCCGGCTCAACCCCTGGGCCTTTGCACACCCTTCCCTCCTGTCACACTCTAGTTTCCTGCCTCAGCCTAACTGCATGGCTGCCAGCCTTCTTGGAATGAGCCAGGTGGTAGTGGCATTTTAGAGTTCTGCATGTGGACCTTTACTCATCATCCTGATGTCAGTAAGGCACCGCCCCTTTGTCCCCCCTCGTACCTGATGGCTTTGATTCTAGAGCCTATCATGCTCATTTCGCCCCCCACATAAGACCCCAGTACCTCCTAGTGGATGGGGGTGGGGACCAATTGCCTGGCTGGACCAGCTGATGAAGCAGCCTGGTCTACGGCTGTACAACCCTGAACACGCCCGATCTTGTCTGATGACGCAGCCTGGGGGATTTTGCCTCTTTCACGACTGGAAGCAATCAATTATCTTGTTTTCTTTTTCTTGCCTCCCTCCCATCTTTGATGAAACTCAGAGCTTCAACTTCCCGATTGGGTTCTAGAGAACAGATCATTATTTATCATTGATGCCCCTTTTCAGAGGCACTTAAGATACGGCCTTCTCGGGTTGGCTAACATCCTTGTTCTGACTTCATTTTACTTATCTATAAAATGATAAAAATGTTACACCACTTTCAATTCCATCAAAGCTGTCGAATGAGCTAATCTCTCAGGTGACTCCTAAACCAGGACTATCTTATGAGGAGTCAAGGAATTTTGATTTGCGGGCATGTTGTATAATTTCTCTTTCTCTCCTAGTTGACTGTGGTCAGACACATCGGCTCCAGGGGAATCTGGCACATTAATGTATACTGTTTTTAGGTTAAAGGAAAGTTTGTTTATACGTAACTTTTTATGATTCCCTATCTTAGTGGACTTGTGATTAATTGACTGACAATGATACTGTGGATAGTATGTTGGAGAAAAGACTTTGGGAAAGAGAAGTTTCACGCTGGGGAGGAGCTGAAGGACCTAGAGAGGCGTGAGTGATGTCACCGCTGGCGGAGGGAAGAGCCACATTACCTGTGTCCCCTCGCGGACTTGGCAGGTGATGGCGTAAGCTTCAGAGGTAGGTTGTTATTGGACCCATTAAATAGAGGTCTTAAAAAAAGCCCAAGTTTTCATGGTGCTTTCCAAGAGTGGGCCGTCATTTTTATTTGCATGCACACAAGTCATAGGAGTCTGAGATGCATTACGACTCGGTGGATGTGACTGCTGCTGGGAGTATGACGGACTGCCCTGGACTGCTGCTCTGGGAGTCACGTGCGGTCACTGCTGGCAACAGCCCATCACCCGGGCAGTGCTTTCCGGCCAAGTGCCGGCCGGAGCTCGGGGCGGCGATGGTGCTGGCAGGGAACACGAGCGGATGTGCCCCTCAGCTGACGCCCCGGCCTGCCCTGGGACCCATTTGCACGTTACTTAGGGGCTCGTTACTTAGGGGCTCGGAAACCCTAAAGCGCAGAGTTGCTTTTGGTTAGTTGTTACGACCGTGTGTGAGAAATGTCTAAGTCGTTTCCTTCGGGCCAGAAATGGAAAAATCTTTCAAACAGAAGATGAAGTTTGCTTTGGCATTCTGGTGAGTCGTTAGCCTGAAAATGTGCACTTGGCTTTTTTGCCAGGCTGGAGGAAAGGAATGGTTACTCTTCAGGGTCTTTACATTCTGCTGACCGAGAGCAGCCTCCTATCCCCCGGGCCCCCTAGAGACCGAGGTCTGACCAAACGCTCCTGGCCCATCTCCTTGCTGTGGGGGTGGGGTGCGGGGCTACGGAGGAGGAGAGTGGGGCCACCCCCAAGTCTCCATTACCTGTCACGAGCGTTTGCCTTTGCTGGTCTTTTCAGCCTCACTGCTTCCTGTGGCTACACTGGCCCCATCTTTTTGCCTCCCCGACTCCCCTAGCGACTTGGCTTCACTTCTGCCTCCTGGTACCCCCCACCCCGCATGGTCCATACCGGAAGTTCAACGTGGACACTGCTGTCATTTCTTACTAATGTCCAAGTCCCTTCTTGACAAGCTGGTGACCCTGGAGGATTTTATCTGCCTCCCTTTTAAAAAATTATATGGCTCCACGTACACAGATTACCCAACTTCTGACGTGACTACATTTCATCCCATATGGAAAGAAGTGTACCAATCTTTGGACACTCAGAGCTGGGTTTGGAAGAAGCTGATATCGCTCATGATGTGTGGGTTACACAGATTTATGTGACAAGCTTCTCTGGCCAGCCACCACCATGGAGGCCACAACTCCCAGTCTTTTCCAAACAGTAACCAAACTTATCTGCATCTCAGAGTGTCATGGACGTGAATGATGGCTGGTGCCAGAATGAGTCATGAGTTGGACTCTGTGTGAGCGGGGGAAGAGGGGGAGACAGGAAGGGCAGAGAGGGAGATGCAGGGGCCTGGTGATGGAGGACTTGGGGGCTGACAGCTTGAGTGATGAAGAGGGAGATAGTAAGGAAACAAGTGATCTCTGGGACTTGGTGCTGGCTCGGCTCTGAGAGGAGGTGGGAAAGGACAGGGGTTGGACATGCCTTTAGGTTCTGTGGGATCTGGGTGCTGAGAGTGCTGGTCACTTACTTTGAGACTAGGCTCTGCATCTCCATCCCTTCTGCTGGGGACAGCATGAAGACCAAACGGTCAGCCTTCAGGGGTGCACACGGGGACTTTTAGGAGCCTGTTTCCACGTATGGAGTGGGGCGGCACTGTGAGATCCTGATGACCTGAGTTATGTCCAGGGGTCCCTCAGATTCTTGTGGTAACTGGAGGTCGGCCACAGCCAAAAAAAAAAAAAAAACCTGGAGGTCGGATGTTAGAACTGGGTCAGTGCAGGCGAAGGGGGGTTATTTGCCCATGGACCAGGATGAACAGAGCCTGGGTGAGTAATACTCTAGGAAGAAATGCAAATCAAATCCAGGCAGGCCATCCTCAGCAGCGGAGTATGTTGTATTGCCTGTACCTCCGAACTGTGGCCTCAGAAACTCACAGAAAGTCCTGCACCTAGTTGTTGTTTAGTTGATAAGCTGGGTCCAAGGCCTGGACTGTAGCCCGCCGGGCTCCTCTGTCCATGGGATTTCCCAGGCAAGAATACTGAAGTGGGCGGCCATTCCCTTCTCCAGGGGATCTTCCCCACCCAGGGATCGACCCCACACCTCTTATGTTGGCAGGCGGATTCTTTACGGCCAAGCCACCAGGGAAGCCCATGCCACCAAGAATGAGCCCTAATTAAACTGCAGACTTTGGGTACTTATGATATGCCATTGGAAGTTCAAGGTTTGAAACAAATGGACCACTCTGGTGGGCGATGTTAGTAATAAGGGCTGTGCCCATGGGGCGTTTGTGGGAGATTTCTGTACCTTCCTTCAATTTTACTGAGAGTCCAAAACTGTTCTTAATAAGTAAAATCTTAATAAAAATTTTTTTTGGAAAAATGTGCTCTAGCAAGCAGACCCTAGATCCCATATGACCAATAAAGAACAGACCTGGGCATTAGATCTTTAATACATAATATTTTTTCTTTCTTTTTTTTCCCTTTTAAAATATCATCTTACATGGTGGTTCAAATTGGTTTGAGATTATTTGAAGCTGTATGCGAACATGCAGTAGGGCCCCTTCTTCCAGATGTTGTAGCTGAGAATTTGATTTTAATAATTCTAAACACAACATTTTATATGCAGTTCTACCATATTCAAATCGTCTATATTATACCAACTTGCCAAGATCTTTTTGAGACTGAGGTCTGATTTCCAATATGTTACATGTTATTCCCAGTTTTCTGGAATTTGATATTCATGCTATGCTTTTATTGACAAAAAAAAAGTGTTGAAAGATAAGGTGAGAAACAGTTTTTGGTAAAATTCTGTTAGCGATCCCTTTCTAGCTTGTTATCAATCCAGGCTTATGGGATAATTTTAATCAGTCGGCTATGGATCACCTAAGCCAATATGCCAGGTACAGATTCTATTCCTCTTTAATGGCTAATGATCATGCCGCCTGGGCCATGTCCTTACCACCCTTCCTGTCTAACCCACGTCCCTTCTAAGAGAAATTCCTTTACTTAAGCTCCTACCTAGACAGCCTTTCTTTCTATCCTGTGGTCATCTTTGCTAGCTCATCCTAACTCAAAGCAGCAATCCTGTCACCTTTGGTCTTCTGCGGAAAGCTGGACCAATCATATTCTCTAATTGCAAAATCTGAACTAAGGAAAATAAAAAGAACTTTACACTTTGTGATAAATCTAACAGTGAAGAAAATAGCCTGAGGTTGAGTTGGGGCTGAGGCAAGTCAAAACTTGCCTCTCTTTGGAGAGAGAGAGGCAATGACAAGGTTTGGAAGCTTCTTAAGTATCTTAGGTCATTTTGAGAAGCTTAGGAAAGCTATGGACTCTCTCCCCTGAGAAATACATAAATTAACACGCAGACAGCATGTTGCTCACGGTTTCAGGATGTTTATGTGTGTGTGCTAAGGTGCTTCAGTTGTGTCTGACTCTTTGTGACCCCACAGACTGTAGCCTGCCAGGCTCCTCTGTCCATGGGATTCTCCAGGCAAGAATACTGGGATGGGTTGCCATTTCCTCCTCCAGGGGATCTTCCTGATCTAGGGATGGAACCCGCATCTCTTATGTCTCCTGTATTGGCAGGTGAGTGCTTCACCATTAGTGCCACCTGGGAAGCCCCAAGATGTTTATAGACCTTTTCCATCTTGTGGTAGTTAATCCTAGAAAAAAATGGTAATAAAATCTGGTTGGTATTGAGACAGTGAAGAGGATGTGCAGAAAAAGTAAATAGGAGTGGAGAGAGACAGAGGCCCCTGGACCTGCCTTGTTTCCTGAGGTCTCCAGGTCTGATTTCTAGGTCACCTGACTTTCCATAAACTCCTGAGATTAATTGAGTGAGTCCCTGTTTCTCCAACTTAAAGTGCTTTATTTAAATAATCAGGCCATCATTCACACAGTCACTCAAGCTATAAACCCCAGAGTCGCATCTCGAATCCCAACCATCACTTTCCAAGTGCCTTGTGCTTTACATTTCTTACTGTGTTGATAGCCCAGGGGCCAACTCAGCCATTCTCTATCACTGGTTTCCTAATATCTTTTTCTTTTTTGGCCGCGAGACATGTGGGATCTTAGTTCCCTAACGAACCAGGGATCGAACCAGTGCCATGGCAGTGGAAGCGCAGAGTCTTAACCACTGAACCACCAGGAAAGTCCCTAATGATTTCTGTGCCGCCAGCTCAAACTGTAAACCCAGGTATTCAGTCACCTAGTGAACAACTCTACTTGGTCGTCCTCTAGATACGGCAAATGCTGTAGTTTAAAAACACAGCTCATAGTTTTCTTGCCACTGATAAAACACAGGAAGCAAAAATGAAAACGAGGCATACAAAATACCTTTTTTTTGGTCAGTGACTTCCATTCAAAGAAGCATAAGGAGCATCTCTGATATCCTTCTCTCTCCTGGCCTCAATGGACTCGGTCACCCATCACCTGAAAAATGAAACCCTAACCTGTCTCCATGTTTCTAATCTTGACCACTCCAGCTTGTCTTCCAGTTGTAGCCACTTGATCAGTCTCAGATACAATTCTATGACATTCACACTTAAAGTTCTTTGATGCTTCTATCCACATGCCCTGCAGGGCAGAGGGGCCTCCACGATGTCTCCAGCTTCTTGTCCTAGTCTCATCTCCTGCCCCACCCTGCACATCACTTCATGCTCCAGCCAACTGACCTCCTTGCACTTCCCGCCCAGGCCATCCTATTTCCTGACTCCAGACTCTGCTAGGGATTCCCTTCTCAAACTGAAGTTTTTTGTTTTTTTTTTCCATAGGCTTCTGTTTGGCTAAACTCCTTTTGGAGATCTGAAAAAGTAGATATACAAACTACACAAAATTATGAACACTTTCATAAAGAAATGGAAAAGAATTGCACATCACACATTCCATGGCCAGACATCATAAAATTCCACTTAAAAAGCTCTAACACATTGAACACATTCAATGCTTACAGTCTAAGGCCCCTAGCTTTCCTCTTTCGATGGTCTCTTCTTGGCTCCTTTCTGCCCCAGTGACATTTATCCTGCAGCCTTTCTGGCCATGCTCACTTCACCTTTCTCTCTTATATTCATACTCAGTCACCCTAGTTTCCTTTTTTAAAATGGAGACCAATATGGTTCTCATTTAGATTTTCCGAGGAGCATCCTTCAACCTAGCACTCCATCAGCAGATGCAGTATTATTCTAGGAACTGGCCTTTATTGGAAAGCAGTTCAGTCCCTGAGTTGGGAAGATCCCCTGGAATAGGAAATGTAACCCACTCCAGTAAACTTGCCTGGAGAATCCCATGGACAGAGGAGCCTGGCAGACTATAGTCCATGGGATCACAAAGAGTTGGACACAACTGAACACATATACACGTCACCTTCATTGGAAAGCAGGGTGAATCTGAAATATGTGAATTTTAACTAATACGTGAATTTTC